GGTCTCTTCTCTAATAGTTCCTTATTGTTTCACTCTTGTTCCATTATTTAGACATCCAGCCATATTTTTATCACTGACACTATTTTATCATCATTAACATGCTTTAAGTTCCTTTATATCCATGTAAAGCCCCAAACTTGAAAATAGCACAATTATTTTAATTATTATGTTTAGAACCGTGTTATTAATACAACTGTTTAAATGAAATAAGTGTAATATATACTAGTAATCTAACGCTCTCATAAAAAATTTACATACTACTATCCAAGATGCTGTGAACTTTCAGGACCTTAATCAAATTATTTTTTATCTTAATCAAGTTATATTTTGGAAAACATTTCAACAAAATACAAGAGAGCTTTTCATAGAAATGTCTAACATGTTCTCTTTATAATTAAATACAATTCAATACAAGTCATCACTAATATTCTACTATTGAAGTAATGAACCTGTGAAAAGAATAGGACAATCAAGTTGTATCACACTTATTGCAGTTTTGTTTATTTTAGAAATAAACCATTCTAACGGATAGTCTAACAGTCTACCTAAAACTACTATTTACTTGCATATTTTGTGTAAAATTAGTTTCTATTATCTGTGATGGTTAATTTTGAATGTCAGCTTGGATAGACTATGGTACCCAGTTATTCAGTTTAAAACACTAATCCAGGTTGTTGTGAAGGTATGTTGTAGAGTGGTTAACATCTACAATCAAATGACTTCAAGAAAATATCTTTGATAATTTGAGTGGGACTTATGCAATCACTTGAAAAGCCACAAGAACAAAGCTGAAACTTCCTTGAGGAAGAAATTCAGTCTCAAGACTACAGCATTAACCCTTACTAGAGAGTCTCCAAATTTTTATCTATACTTCAGACTTCTCCCTTAGATTTGCCAGTTCCAATAATCATGTGAGCATATATATATTCACAAAACTGTAGCACTTTGCTTTTGTGTACAAATAGACTTAAAGAAATGAAACAGTTTTGAAACAATCTATAATCTATTTTTGAACTATGAATGTATATGTGCGTTTGTGTGCACGTGTATTGAGATATAAGTATAAGAGGTGGAATTGTGTAGAAAACTTCTTTATTCTTAAATGTACTTTGTATTTAATTTTTAGCTCTGGAATGAAAAACATAAAAATTAAAAAAGGAATTCTTGATATAATATTTGCTATTTATCTCTCAGGGTCATTTTCTTCAAAATTATCTGTAATTTATTGTGTATATTTGTGTGAAGCACAAAATTAATTAAAGATTAGAGGACATTATCTATATCTTACCAGTTTGTTATCTGTGCTTTATTTATATCTCTTAAAACAAATCATACAATGTTATTTAGCCATTTTGCTTCTGGAGTGATAAGTTTATTGATTCCAATGATTGAATATGTGTAGGCCACAAAGTATATAACAGTGGCCTTATCTGTATATTGATAACATCAAAGATAAGAAATAAAAATATTAAAATAATAAAAAACAACCACAAAATAAAGGAAGAGTCTGACACTAACCAATGAGAATAGTGTTCTATGAACTGAAGAAGTCAAGCAAACTAATTTTGTGTAACTAAATGCACTGACTTACAAACAAGAAAAACATTATTAGAGTAATATTGTGACTTCAATTATTGTCAAAGGTTCTTATGAAAGAAAATTCCACTTATTATCATTTTATAAAATATATATATGCCTAGTTTTCCCTTCAAAAAAATAATAGCACTCTTTTTTCTACCTTATAAATATTCAAGTGACAATGAGATTTATTAAAATTAAAAAATATGAATGATATTAAATAAAAACAGATTTTCTGCAAATGCTACCTACAAAGGAAACACTAGATAACAAAGAAATCTGAAATATTCATATAATGTCCAGGGCCTAGTAAGTTACATAGGAAAGGTTTGTCCTCTTCTAATTTAAAGAGAAAAGAAACTAGAAGACATGTCAATGCACACAAACAACTCTTGAAATTTGTATATATAATGACATTAAACTAAAAATATCCATATGAGGAAATGAAAACTGTCCTTATTATTGGATATACTAGTGAACAACATTCAGTGATTAAAATTAATTTATAAAAACTATTCCTAAAATATTATAGCTTAAAACTTTCCCTCAGGCTATGGTTCTAAACAACACAACTTATATTTCTGACATAATCAAGTGGAAATAGAATCAGAAATGAATACCCACACCACAAGAATTTATTCTTAACTTAAATTCTTTCACTTAAATACCACCCTTAAGATAAAGGATTTTTCTTTAGCGACCCAGTTTTTGTTGCTCCTGGCAAGAAAAAACCTTTAATATAATCATCATTCAATGGACATTTTTATAAAACTCTTTCTTATCGTATTACAGTACTTTCACTATCACTATTCCTAATTAAATTCAGTATTTTTAATTTTATAATAAAAACTATGTGTATATTAGAATTCCAATTCCAAGCTTTTCAAGTCTTTGCCCCCTCAATAATTATATGTTCATTCAAAAAATAGACCCAAGGTTATTAAACACAAACATAAACACAAACACATCTTGAGTGAAATGCCTTAAAATGTTCACAGTTTAAATTGTGGGAAAATAATTTTCTTTATTCCTCTTTTATTATTTGAGTACAATTGTTCTCATGATCATGTAAGTTTTCATGGTAAAAAAATGTAATAAAATAGTTTATATTTCATTTTCTTTCATTTCCTTCAGGAGGAAAAAAATCACATTGCACTGGGTTTAACAAAGACTTTACACAAAGTAGTGATGCACAAACTTTTGCCTCATGGCACATAGGATATTTTAGGGCACAGTAGGTTAAACAGGGCTGCCTGAGCCAACAGCAATAAGTCCAGTCGCCTGGCCTCCCAGATGCTGAGGCCATCAGTACCTTGGCACATTGGCAACTCATAAACTCTACACCAGTTTGCCATACTTCGATGGGGAGCTCTGGGTAATGTTAAGACTTAGTATTATACAAACATGTTAATTACTCTTCAGAGCACTGCGACTAAATGTTTGGTAGTACAATTTCCATTAATGATTCTCTTGCTTACTTGTTTGATGATTAGGTTTTCAGAATCAACTAGAAGAATGTGAAATAATAATCAAGTATTTGTCTCTTAATGTTATATATTGAGGTTAAATATAATAGCTTTTCTCAGTATTTTTCTTTGATTTTTATGGGTAAATATATTTTCCAACAAAATAAATCAATGTTTAATACTGAGAATCTTATGCTCTTGGTATCTTGTAAAGTGAAATGTTAAGCCTTTCTATTTCAGATGATTATCTTTAAAATTAAAAAGTGTATTTTATAATATCCTTGTTTATAATTATTTGCATAAGATTCAGGACTATTCTATAAATATATTACTCTAAGCCATTGCTATATATTGGGTGTGGCTAAACATAGGAAACATAGGTATTTAACATGTTAATCATCACTAATTGAATAACAAATAAATGTATGAGTTGTTAAATAGTGTATAAATTAAACAGCATTAAATTATCTTACTTAATAAAACAAGTAAATCACATTGGACTTAAGCAGGACTAAAATAGTGTATTAGTTTTTTACATAATAATAATTTTGCTTTATAAAGTTATATTTTAAATAACCCTTCCTTCATTGTCACCCCCTTTAAAAAAATTTTCTGCTATGGTCCCTCATTCTGACAAATAGCTTTGAACAACATTTTTCACCCTTGTGACTACAAATGTATTCCTTAATCCTTCCAGTAATGATTTCTTCTTGCCACTGAAGAAACTTCTGTGAAGTATATCAGTGACTATCTACTATCTAAACCTGTAGCACTTTTTTAATTTCTTTTTTATTTGATTTCAATAGCACATAATCCAACTGGCCTCCCAGTATTTTCTTGCCTTCAATCAAAATACCCACCTTGGGTTTTGCTTTTTTATTGTTGTTTTGTTTCTACTGGTTTATTTTTCTGTAAGTGTCCCTAGAGTATTAATGCATAAAGACTCAGAATTATGCCTCCAAACTCTAGCCCAATATTTAACAATTCTTGAGTATTCAATTCTTTCAAAGATGGTGGGTCCAAAACTGAATTATCTTTCATTAGCATCCCAAATACCCAGTTAGCCAATTAAAAAAAAACTATAAGATATCTAAGGCTCACTTATCTTCATTATCTGTCATATCCAGTGATTTACTAAACCCTCCAAATGCTACTTCCAAAATAATTACTACATCCATTCTTTATTTTTTATTCTTGAAAACCCCACCATCATTTTGCTGGGTAAGACACTTATCTGTTTTCAAGAATATTATGAGTCTCTTGAATTCCCTATCAAGAGACTCTTAAAGCTGCAGCATTATCATCCATATTGATACTACAGTCATTTGTCAGATGCAATCCTAATGAGATTAATTATTCTGCTTAAGATACAGTTATGAATTATTATTGCCTACAAGCAAAGGTCTAAGCTTTGTGTAACGCTGTAAATCTTTCTAACCGATATTACATTAGCCTATTATTTGAATCACAACTCTTTCTCCAAAGCAGACATTTTCTTTGTGTTGGTTATCCATATCACTCTGGGAAATTAATGGGGGTCAGATATTTCTTTCTTCTAGTTTTAGATTATTTGTCAAGCAAGTGCTACTCCTAAGAGTCGGAACCTAAAAGAAATTATGAAATTTGAGAAATAGTGGCAGGAATGACAGCATGGAATGCCTAGGTATCTCTATACCAGGTAGTAACATGAATAGTTATTTTCTTGGGGTTCATATTGCCTTATTTCTGGCTTACTCTGTTAAACAGATTCTCGAATCTTCCCCTTGAATCTGGAACATATCAGATATCATCCCAGTTAATTTATTTCTCTTTAAGTTAACCAAAACCTGTCTCTTATTTTCAACTAAGAGCTGCAACAGATAAAACCCCATCACAGGCCTGGCAGGGGTGGCTCAGCAGTAGAATGTCAACCCAGGAACCAAGAGGTCACCAGTTGATTCCTGGTCAGGGCACATGCCCAGGTTGTGGGCTCAATCCCCAATGGGGGCCGAGCAAGAGGCAGCTGATTGATAATTTTCCTCTATCATCAATGTTTCTATCTCTCTATCCCTCTCCCTTCCTCTCTCTTTCTCTCTCTAAAAATAAATAAAAAACATATTTTAAAAAAACCATCACATATGATCATAAAGGTACATTGTAAAATATCACACCAAACTTTTACACTGTTCTGATTTCCAGGAATTATTTTCTTGTTCTTATAGTATCTTAAAATATTTCTATTCTTTATCCAAGAAATACATGTCTCTTCTATTGTTTTATACTGTGATAGTCTGCATACCACCGAAGCTGAATTACTCAATTACTTGTTATCCCTATCTATATTTTATATTTATATAGAACTATGCATTTCATCATGATTATTTGTGACTTTCAGGTTCCCTCCCTTTTATTTTACACTTCTGATATTAACTGGTAGACTATCCTAATTGTTTCACAAAGCAAATGAACACTCATATATCTTAGCACCTTTTTATCTTTTCCAATTTTCTAGAGTCAAAATCTACCTTCTATGCAGCCTTCCTAATTGCATATTTTATAAATTCACTTTTAAAAACAAGAAATAATAATAAATATATTGCAGATGAAACAATGATTAGAGGATTCATAAATGTACACAGTTCATATCTAAAGTGATCCAAGACAAATTTGTGATTTTTAGACAGCCAATTCTATTCATTACTTAGAGAACATCAATTAATGAATATTAATAAGGAAAGAGGAAGATCAATTTGAAATTCTGTTCCTAACTGATATTATTCTTTTAATGTTAAGAATCAGATATTAACATTAGAAAATAAAAGAGAAAGGATTTGGATTGAATATGCTTATGATAACAAAATATCCATAACCTACAAATATATACAATGCTGTAGAATCTTGATTTCACATAGCTTTTTATTTCTAATAATGATAAAAGGCCAACTGTATCATACTCAATTAAATATTATACAACTATTAAAAATCTATTGTGAAATATAATATTGCAACATATAAAGTACATACAACCAGTTAGCTACTACAAAAAGCACGCTTGGAATTATAACAACAGATTTTAAATATGTAAATATGCACAAGAAAAACACTAGAAAAGAATAATGCAATATGCTATCAGAAATTGCTTAGATGCTGCAGTAATAGCTTCAATTTTATTTTTAAATTTCTCTTTATTTTCTCTCACTTCCTTTGTTTTAATTACTTTTCATTCTCTTGAGAAGATTGTCATTTTAAATTATTTTGTTTTCATTGCTTTTTATTATTTAGAAGTTGAAGCTAAAATATAGAAATATAAGTCTCATAGTCCTTGTGTTTTCTTTATAATTGGGAATTCTAGACCCATTTCTATTTGATTATGCCATTATGTCTGCGAGAACACTGGTGTGTTCTATGGGCAGCGGGTGACATAAGGTTAAATGCACTAAGTCCTCTACTGTGCCTGAGCCCTCTTTCTGTGAAGCAAGTTGATTAGCCTTGGAAGAGAAGAGGTTTTGATGAAGAGCTGCTTTTGACCCCCATTGCATAGTTGGAACTGCACACATCTAATCAGAAGAAAATGATATCTCTTTACAGGAAGACGACCCTTTAGCAATAGACACTGACTCCTTCACCTGCATAGAGATGGGCGTGGCTGCAGAAAACCACTGTGTTTAGGTACTGCCCTTTAGAGCAGGGGTTTCTCTGGAGTTTCTTCTCCCTGAAACTCAACCCATCCAAACAGGGACTGCTGGGACTACACTCTTTGTAAACGAAAAGCCAACCAATGCCACAATATTCCAAAGCAACTGTACATTGTCAATAGTTTATTGACAGCCTCATGCATCAGGGAGTGTAACATTCTCACACATAGCTCAGATCAAGTTACCTCTTAGTGCAAAATCCTTGAAAGGCTCCTCATTTCAAACAGAGCAACTGAGGCCCTAAGTGACCTCACATTGCGATTGTGTCTCTTGTTTCATCGCTCACATTCTCTCCAGACCACTTAGTTCCAGTTATTAACACTCCCTGAAATATTAATTTCCTCGATTCTTTAGTATTTCACCAAAAACACTTGGCTCACTCCAACTCGTGGCTTTTCCATTAGCTATTTTCTCTAACGAGATGCGTTCTATCCCAGGGATTCCTATGGCTAACTCCCCTTTCACCTTCCATCAGCGGTAGTTCCTTTTCAATAAAGCATACTCTGAGCACCAATCACAATGTGCCAAGTCAGCGCTATACATGTCAACCCCTCAACCTCTAAACTTTGGTATTGTGTCTTCTTTTTTTATTTTCCTGTTACAATTTTTTACCTTCTAAACAACTATATGATTCACTTATTTATTGTGTTTATTGTCTGTCTGTTGCAACTGTAACAGAGTGAAATGCTTGGCTTCTTTGGCTCATCTAGCTCAAGCCTAATTTGTTCCAGGACCTTTAGGTTAATAGATTCTGTTGAATCTTGCATGTAGCATTTGGAGGAATTCTGCAGCAGATTGAGTTTTACAAAAACTGCCCCTTACTGGAAACTGCCTCTCCCAAGGAGATGTTCAACCTCATACCTGGAATCACATCAACTAGACTCAACACACTTAAGTACAAAGAAGTTTCATGATCCTCCTGGGATCCCTGCTGGTGCCCAAATGTCTATCATCCCTTACACCCCCCCCCCGTTTCCCCCTTCCCTTAATGTAAAAGGAGCACGCATTCTGTACCTCCTCAAGAGGGTTCTTAAGATGCTAGTCCACCATCTTCTTGGATTTCTGGTTTTGCAAATAAAGTTGCTTTTCTTACCCCAGCACCTTGTTCCTTGACTTATTGGCTGTCATGTAGTGAGTGGTACAAGCTGGAATTTGGTTACAAAACCTAATATTAAAATTTAAGTTCTAGAAGATTAGAAGATTTTAATCTGAAATGCATCAACTTATTGATGCATTTCAACCAGACACACACACACACACACACACACACACACACACAGGCACACACACACTTTCTGAACATAATAGGTGATCAGCAACTATTTGTTGAATTAATTGAATCCTTGTTTTCTTTTGTGTTTTCCTCAAACTAATCACATTAATTTATTAACTTTACTATTGACTTTATATTACCCTTCTGTTTTATGACTCTAAATGACAGAGCATGCTGTGTTCCTGGCAGTGGGTAGATGAAATCGGTTTAAAACAGTATTTGTTACAATTAAAGAACTTTCCATTGACATATATAATTTTTGTCAATTCAACATCCAATTTCCTTTAATCTGGTATTAGAACCTCTTACTTTTTTATGGAGAAATATCCCTTTTATCTGTGCCAGTCCTATGTGTTTGAGATGGGATCAAGATACAGCCCCACTTAACCAGGAATTGAATTATAAGATTTAGAATCTTTAAAAAAGTCTCTTTTACACTAGTTTCAGGAACTCTGGAATATTCAATTCTAAATTTTCATACTCTGATCATATATTCATATATCTCCAGACCTCTGTTCTTCCCACTGCTTATGTTTATGACTCCAAAAATATTGCTATTTTTAACTTATTCCATTTAAAGGCATCTTACCCTTTCTAGTCTGTCTCTAAAATAGAACCCATGTTTCTGTCAATGCTCTTCAGCATTGCCTTATTGTTGCCTCTAGAATATGGGTCATTTAAATTGTTTCTACTTACTGAAACTATGAAATGGTTGATTAAATCAACTCTTCAGCATTGCCTTATTGTTGCCTTATTATTCTAGCACAGACATGATAAAATGCCTAGAATGTGGGTCATTTAAATTGCTTCTACTTACTGAAACTATGAAATGGTTGATTAAATCACCTGCACACACTAGTATCTTTATAATATTTTCTCTTGATTCTAAAGTGTGTCTTCAAAACTGTCTGCAGTTCTTTCATTTTCCTAGTCAACATTCTTTCCCATTAACAAAGTAGAAATTTTCAATATGTTCCCCTCTATTTGGATCATCTCCCAATTACAATCCTATTCATTACCAGCAGACTCCTTAATATTTTGCTTCAGGGAGAAAATACAGCCCTTAATTTCTTACACACCATCAATAAATATCAACATCTTTCCTTCCTATTTCCCATAATAGTGTCACAAGGTTCTTCCTACATGCAGTCAAGTTGCCAGCACGTGGTCTGGATCCCATCACTAACTTCTTCAACAGAAATACCATTTCACTAAATAGCTCCTCATTTTCTAATTCTCTCAACAACATTCACTGAAAATTACTGAATTTCTACCTTAGGCCAGCTGTGTTCTAGGGATTAGAATAGAAGGACTAAACAGTCAGCCTGGGTTTCAGAAACTTACCCCTTGTTTTGATGAGTTATATAATATTTAAATAATCACACTTAAGATGAACAATTTCAAAATGGATGTTTATATGAAAGAGGTGAAATAAGTAGATAATTTGATAAATAATTTAATGAAGTAGGACCTCAGGGAGGCTTCCCTAGAGTAGTGATTATTTAGATAACAGAGGCTAAAAGGCATTTTTGAAATGCCGTTGGGAAGTGTTGAGAAGCAAGAAATAACTCTGCAGCTGGAGTGAGCATGAGATTTTCATACAACAGTAAAATAATAAAAGCCGGATGACTGAAATGCAGAAAATTGAGATATCTGTGGATGCTGAAGCTGGGAAAGTATATGCAAATCAACTAGGTGCTGTGTTATTTGCATAATCAAGTTTCAGTGCTTAGAAGAGAAATCATTCCAGATATTCCAAACATGAAGAGAGTTAACGCAGGAAATTAGGACCTTTAAATGTTCTTGGAGTCACTGGAGAAATATCATTTTACATGCTGCCACATGACTAGCTATGTAGGTCACCTTCACAAAGCCTTTCCGAAGATCAGAAGGCCGTTGCCTTTAGTACTGACATCAATACTACCAGTACTATTAGTACTATTTCTTCACGTAAACATATGTCTAAACATGAAATGCGACCCTGGTAATCATAAACACTAAAGTCTCTCAAAATTTATTTTTCAACATCATAGCATCTGGCTGTAATAAAGAATTTGAACTTAAAATTCTGTTTCTGTTTCAGGGAAGCACATCTCAGTGAGAGATTATAATTCCTATCTTAAGCCCACACTGCTAATTAGCCTAGGAAATGAAGTATTTATTCACTCATTGCAATTCCGAAAGGTGCTTGGATCTGAGTGAAATGGATGCTGAGTGAAAATATACCATAAATTGTACACTATGTAAAATGCATTGGCTTTTAACCTGAAATCCATATAATCCATTAAGTAGTTTTAATATATTGTCATGTTTGCATTTTGGAAACATCAGGGTTTACAGTATTTAGAATGGCTTAAAGAGATGCAGAATGGATTTTTGGAAAGAAGTTTGAAAGCTATTGCAGTGCTGGTCAAAGCCGAGAAATGATAGGAAACCGGATTTATGTTATGGCCATGTAAGTAAAAGTACAGATTTTTAAAGCAGTAAGGGAATAAACTGGTCAGACTTGTGCATTTATTAGTGTAGTTTTCTATGAAGCAGAATTTAGACAAAGGTTTAAGTGCAATAACTCTTTTTATATGATTCAGAGAAGCACTAATCAGGCAGGTAGGATGTGAGATGAAAAAGGAATGGAGACTAATTCAGATGTGTTATCAAAAAATGATTCCACTGTGGACACTTGGAGCCCATTGCTGCTAAGTTCTTCAGGAGACAGTGTAGAGAATTCCTGATCATAGTCCTATACAAGGGGAGAGGATGCTGGGGAATGAATCTTCCAAATCCCACACATCATTATCTAAAGATTGCTTCTAAATTATTCACTTTCCAGCATTTCCAATCTGCCCCGCATGATATCTGAGTATGCCAGAGAAAGACATTGGGTGAAGTGTTACAGGCACTTGTAATAGCTAGCCAGGAGCATAAACATGAATAAGAGCCATGAGGATATGGATAGGAACGTAGCAGCATCTGCTGCAAAAAATGGAATGAATATAGATGTTATTGAAGAAGAAGATATCAAAGATAGCTGTGAGATTTACATTATGAACAAATAAGTAAATATCAATGTCTTTTACAACCACAAAGAACAACAGAAACCATGTATCGAGAGAGATTAAGAGCACGATATTGAGAATAGTGGGGTTGAGGTGCCATTGATATATCTGTAGAGATGTCAAGTACATGAATACATGAATTATAATCCCAGAGAAGATATATGAGTAGAGTAGTGGGGATGAGGTGTCACTGATATATCTGTAGAGATGTCAAGTAGGCCCTGAATACATGAATTATAATCCCAGAGAAGATATATGAGCTGGGAATTTACATGTTGTACATATTAACACTATGTTGGTGCAGAGGTCATTGTGGCTGATGTCACTGTCTTGCTCAGATTCGCCTAGCCACGCCTGTGCACCCATGCCCCGTGTGTTATTTGGGGTAGTAAAGAGCTCACAGCTCTTCCCTCTCTATAGAACTTTCCTCATTTAGCATCAGTCTCTTCACCTGAGTTTTTAATTTAGCACCACAAAGATGGCCCATAACATATCCATGGCCACCACGTTCCATTTGTCTAGCCATAGTTAGACTATTTCAAACAATTTTATTGCTTATTTTTTTCTTCTTCACATTCCTATATTACTCCCCAATCCATTATATTATTTCCTCATAAACAATCTCTCAATAAATCTCATGCACCTTGATCCCTGTCTCACATAAATAAAATGCAGAAGCAGTTGGCACAGAACCCCACATCACCTACAGTTGCTGCACTCATGCTTCAAGCTCAGCTCACACCTCTGGTCTCATGGAGGATTTGTTTTGAATTGCTGACAGAAGAGGAAATATCCCAGCCTCAGTTTACTCATGTGTTCCCTGGGGCTGTAGGTGGAGAGGTGAGAATATCCTGTTGCTGAAACACAGCTCCACTCAGGGACTGCCATCAAAAGCAGTTATGAAAGAAAATCTCCTGTTAAAGAACCTTAGACATTCTCCTGGTCATTAACTTTCTGTGGAGAGGAAAATGACCTGAAGTAAAAGTGTGCACAGAGTCCTGGGCAGTGGCCAACGGCTAAGCTGGTCTGAGGTCTGAAAGGGTAAAGATTGGGAGATTGAGGACAATGAGGCATGAGGAAGAGATAAATATCATCCTACTGAAGGTGGCACATGGTGTAAAGATCTGTCATGACTCCTTATCCCTCACCAGGAGTGGACTCCACTTAAGAAACACTAAATAACAAAATGGACATGATGACACACCCAGATAATATCAGTTAGTCTGTGTTGTTGGCTAAATCCAGGCTCTCATAAAGGCACATACCCATAGTAGCAGAGATGGGTGCTACACATGGAAAGTTGGAGAAAATGAGGCCTTACATATTCTGGATTCTGATCTTACTCTACTAGAAATTATCACTAAAGTCACTGATGGCATCCTTATTATAAAACCTAATAATAATTCTATTTCCATTCCCATGACTTCCGGTGGATTTGAGAATATTGAATACTCTCTATGTTGCTCAGTTCATTGCTTTTGACATTTAATGAACTATCCAAGTTTTCTTTCTTCTCTAGAACTATTTAGTCTTGTGGAAGATGGGTGTTTTCATTGTCTTAGTTGGCTTTTCCCATTCCTCTCCCTTGGGAATTTTATTGATGCCCAGGATTTTAATCAGATTTAATCAAGTTTAATCAAAGATTCTAAGAAGCTCTTTTATTCAATATTGAGACAACATGGGATATCAAAAATAGGTACATAATTGTCACGGGAGATAGAAGAGAGTGATTTTATTTGTATTTTCTGGGTTTCCAGGAGCTAGGGTAGAGGGGTAATGAAAAGTGTTCTTACTTTTCATGGTCCTTATGTTGCATTACTATTAAAATTAATAAACTATTATTAAAAATTTAAAATAAGTTAAATAGAATGAAAAAGCTTATGTAGGTAAATTCATTTCTTTATAAATGGCTTTTATTAAGCAATTTAAAATGTTAAACTATTTTCATTGTGAAATACAATACACATATAGAAAATGCTGCAAATTGAAAGTGAAAAGCTCAATAAGTTATAAGCTCATTCATGCAACCTTCACCCAAATCAGAAAAGGACCTCTATTAGGACCCAACATGCCACCCTCTCAGCCCCTTCTTTATCAGTCTTCTCCCTCCTTCCAAAAATAAATGTCTAGATTTTATGATAATCCATTTCTTTCTTTCCTGTATACATTTAGATCTAAGACGTGCATACCTAGGCACTCTTTTTTAATGCTATATTAATGTTATATTGATAACACAACAAAAAGATTTATTTCTAAACCTAGTTGGACTTTGAAACTCTGAGGCCCCAGAACTGCTTTTCTTCCCTAGTATGCATGAAATTTAAGCTTTCTAGCTGAAGCACGTTTCTACTTGAGCAGACAGTTGAATGAATTATTTTTGTTGACTGTGTAGCCTGCAGTGACAATTCTCAGGGGTTTTAAAGGATTTGTGGCACTTATCTTACACTTTCCTATTTATTGCTGGATTTACTTGTCTGTTCTGGGAGACTGTTTACTAAATTACTAAAAGCATCTCTCATAATTCCTGAGGGTTTGCAATATTTGTCTCATATATAAAGTCAGAATAGTAAATAATTTCCCTAAACATTTCCTGATTCAACTTTTAATGACTCTTAAGACACTAATAAAAGTGGCTTCTACATTATTATTCCATACTTCTACTCTTGTTTTTATTGGTAAAAAAAAATTACCATTAAATAAACTAAATTTTGTGGTAGATAAAGAACAATAAATTCAACACTACTTTTCAAATAAAGCAAAATACCATCATGAATTTTTTGTTTTGTTTTGTTTTTGGCATAGAAATGTGTGACTTAGGATACTGCATTTGCTTAGAGTTTATTGATTGTTAAAATAGTGGCCCTGGCCAGGTAGCTCATTTAGTTACAGCATTGCCCCCATATGCTAAAGATTTGAGTTTGATCCCTGTGGGGGCCCTATCTAGAGTGCACCAGATGTTTAAGGCCACTCTGAGTATGGGAATCCTAATCAGGGTGTTCAAGGTTACTTTGCTATATGCAGGGGCAAGAAGCAAGGACACAGCCCTCTTACTATACGTACACTATGCAAGTGTGCCCTTCTATAACCCAAAAGAATAGGTTCACTATTTGGCAAGAAGCCTTTTTTGTCTAAGTTAGTATTAAAGAATGTTATTGACCAGCAGGCAGGGGCCTGAGAGGCGGCTGCTTAGGGAGGCTGTAGCTCTAAGGATGGCTCCTGTATAGCTCCTATGTTGGAGGCTACTGGTATTTTGTAGGAAAGATGTATTGTTATCTAGCTGGTGTACAGCTACTATATGGGACTTTACTTTGAAGAACTGCTTTGTCTAATAGCTCCTGTCATAGTGATGGCTACTTGGGCTACAATAAAGACTCTCTTATATACCCACAACTTCTCATGGCTTCTCTGTCAAATACCTGGCGTCCCAGGAGATCCCGTCCCTAAGAGAGTCTAGGACCTGACAATCCCCAATCAGGACACACACAAGTATCAACCAATGAATGCATAAATAAGTGGAACAACAAATCTCTCTCTCTCTCTCTCTCTCTCTCTCTCTCTCTTCTCTCTCTCTTTCTCATCTCTCTCTCCAAATCAATCAATCAATAAAAAATAGTTTGAATTTCACATATATTGTATGGTCTTTGACTATAATAAGTACTAGAGGCCCGGTGCACAAAAATTTGTGCACTTGCGGGGGGGGAGGGGGGTCCCTCAGCCTGGCCTGTGCCCTCTTGCAGTCTGGGACCCCTTGGGAGATAACGACTTGCTGGCTTAGGCCTGCTCCCAGGTGGCAGAGGGCAGGCCCAATCCCTAGGTGCAGCCCCTGGTTGGGCTCAGAGCAGGGCTGATTGGGGAGTTGGGGCGCCGCCCCCTGTCATGCACAGAGCAGGGCGGATTGGGAGGTTGCGATGCCACCCTCAGTCACGCTCAGGGTAGGGCTGATTGGGGGGTTGGGGCACCGCCCCCTTATCAGTCTTCTCCCTCCTTCCAAAAATAAATGTCTAGATTTTATGATAATCCATTTCTTTCTTTCCTGTATACATTTAGATCTAAGACGTGCATACCTAGGCACTCTTTTTTAATGCTATATTAATGTTATATTGATAACACAACAAAAATATTTATTTCTAAACCTAGTTGGACTTTGAAACTCTGAGGCCCCAGAACTGCTTTTCTTCCCTAGTATGCATGAAATTTAAGCTTTCTAGCTGAAGCACGTTTCTACTTGAGCAGACAGTTGAATGAATTATTTTTGTTGACTGTGTAGCCTGCAGTGACAATTCTCAGGGGTTTTAAAGGATTTGTGGCACTTATCTTACACTTTCCTATTTATTGCTGGATTTACTTGTCTGTTCTGGGAGACTGTTTACTAAATTACTAAAAGCATCTCTCATAATTCCTGAGGGTTTGCAATATTTGTCTCATATATAAAGTCAGAATAGTAAATAATTTCCCTAAACATTTCCTGATTCAACTTTTAATGACTCTTAAGACACTAATAAAAGTGGCTTCTACATTATTATTCCATACTTCTACTCTTGTTTTTATTGGTAAAAAAAAATTACCATTAAATAAACTAAATTTTGTGGTAGATAAAGAACAATAAATTCAACACTACTTTTCAAATAAAGCAAAATACCATCATGATTTTTTTGTTTTGTTTTGTTTTTGGCATAGAAATGTGTGACTTAGGATACTGCATTTGCTTAGAGTTTATTGATTGTTAAAATAGTGGCCCTGGCCAGGTAGCTCATTTAGTTACAGCATTGCCCCCATATGCTAAAGATTTGAGTTTGATCCCTGTGGGGGCCCTATCTAGAGTGCACCAGATGTTTAAGGCCACTCTGAGTATGGGAATCCTAATCAGGGTGTTCAAGGTTACTTTGCTATATGCAGGGGCAAGAAGCAAGGACACAGCCCTCTTACTGTACGTACACTATGCAAGTGTGCCCTTCTATAACCCAAAAGAATAAGTTCACTATTTGGCAAGAAGCCTTTTTTGTCTAAGTTAGTATTAAAGAATGTTATTGACCAGCAGGCAGGGGCCTGGGAGGCGGCTGCTTAGGGAGGCTGTAGCTCTAAGGATGGCTCCTGTATAGCTCCTGTGTTGGAGGCTACTGGTATTTTGTAGGAAAGATGTATTGTTATCTAGCTGGTGTACAGCTACTATATGGGACTTTACTTTGAAGAACTGCTTTGTCTAATAGCTCCTGTCATAGTGATGGCTACTTGGGCTACAATAAAGACTCTCTTATATACCCACAACATCTCATGACTTCTCTGTCAAATACCTGGCGTCCCAGGAGATCCCAGGAAATGGTCATAATATCTTGTAGGCCTTTAGTTGACTTTTGTGCTACCTTGAGGGATTTCTAAGTTATAAGTATATTTAGAAAATACTTTAAAATATCACATTGTTACCTAATAGGATTAACTTGAATTCTTAAGTCAATATTCTATTTCTTCTTATTTCCTACAGAATAAAGTTATAGAACTTGCACGGAAGAAGTGCAATTTACTTGGTCTCTTTAAAATTTGTTATATCGTTGTCTATGCAGTGCTACTTAATTGAATTAGACATTTAATTCTGCCTTGATCTGAAATTCTAATATGCAACATGGTAGTTCATTTGTCTTAGTGTATATTTTTATTGGGGCATTCTGCTTTATAATATCAAGATATATAGAACCAATATTTAATTTATTAAACTTTATCCACAGAGTGTGTTTAAGAAATTGAATATCAGAATGCCAATAGTTGTCTATGCAAGTGTTTAAATTATTAGGTTTTATTTAAAAAGTGAAATGATCATTTAATTTTGTCCAGAAGCAAATGAGAGCAGAGGCTTTACTCTACAAGACACATTTATTTATTCACTCATTTGCTTATATTTTATTCAATGCATACTTACTTATAAGCTGTACTGTATAAATATATTTAAAAATATATACTTATTAACATTTGTGGTAAATTTTACAATTAACTGCAAATTCATATGAGTAAAAATACTATGTATGACCTTAAGCCAATATCTTTAAACCAATATTATTCTTCTTAAGAGTTTATACAAAATAAAATATATATAAATTTAGTTTATCAAGAGCTTATTTGACATATAGTATATTCAAAGCAACAATATATATGACCATATATTAATGTATTCATTTACATACCTATATAAATACACAGAAACATATCCATCTCTCTTTTTTTCTTAAACAATCTGTAGGCATTGAGCTCCATATTATAACAAGCAGAGTAAAATTTTACAATTTCTATGAGAGAGTTCAACAGTTGTATCTTGAGAGGCCATATCTAGTCAGGGAAATAAAATACGGTAGTGATACAGAGAAATATCATTGTGACCATTAAAAAACAGGGAGAGTTTGAATAAGTAAAAATATGACAAAGGTCATCCCAGGCTTAGCAAAACAAATGGTATGATTGGTTAAAGCTGAGAGTGTGTAAAGAAAGGTTTCAAGATATAAAGTCAGAGTGAATCAAATGGCCAATTAAAGCATTTTTGCTTTTCTATTATGCTGTTAATTCCAGTTATATAATCAGCAAAATAACATGATCAGACTTGTGATTTACAGTTGCTTAGCTAACTAAAGTGTATGATATCACCAATAATACCAACAACAATGGTATGATTTTTGGACTCTAAAACATCTATACTAGTAAGAGGGTAATATGCTAATTATACCGGGAGACTTTCTAGATGTCCTTCCAGACAAAGCCATGGTGGCAGGGCCAAGGCAGAGGCAGTTAGGGGCAATCAGGCCAGGAAGGGAGGGCAGTTGGGGGTGATCAGGCTGGCAGGGGGAAAGTTGGGGGCATTTGCATAAGGATATGCTGATTAGCCAATGGGAAGGGTAGCGGTCGTATGCTAATTACCATGTTTCTCTTTTATTAGTGTAGATAAGAAAACCTCAAGATGAAACATTAAATTAAATCATAGCAAAATAGCATTCTATAAAACAAGAAAATAATTTTCTATAATAATAATATGTACTGTCACAGTTTTTCCCATGAGAAAGTAGGATTATAAATCCAAAATGTCAACACAGCATTCATAGCATTTGGGAAATTTGCTGCACATATAAAGGAAATGGTCATAATATCTTGTAGGCCTTTAGTTGACTTTTGTGCTACCTTGAGGGATTTCTAAGTTATAAGTATATTTAGAAAATACTTTAAAATATCACATTGTTACCTAATAGGATTAACTTGAATTCTTAAGTCAATATTCTATTTCTTCTTATTTCCTACAGAATAAAGTTATAGAACTTGCACGGAAGAAGTGCAATTTACTTGGTCTCTTTAAAATTTGTTATATCGTTGTCTATGCAGTGCTACTTAATTGAATTAGACATTTAATTCTGACTTGATCTGAAATTCTAATATGCAACATGGTAGTTCATTTGTCTTAGTGTATATTTTTATTGGGGCATTCTGCTTTATAATATCAAGATATATAGAACCAATATTTAATTTATTAAACTTTATCCACAGAGTGTGTTTAAGAAATTGAATATCAGAATGCCAATAGTTGTCTATGCAAGTGTTTAAATTATTAGGTTTTATTTAAAAAGTGAAATGATCATTTAATTTTGTCCAGAAGCAAATGAGACCAGAGGCTTTACTCTACAAGACACATTTATTTATTCACCCATTTGATTATATTTTATTCAATGCATATTTACTTATAAAC